ACCAGGGCACAGCCAGAGCGTCCCCAGGGCTGGGCAGAGCAGCCTCATGCCAACCTCCCCTTCCTTGCAGGACGTGCTCAATTCCAAGAATGCCACCATCCAGGACCTGCAGATCCAGCTGGCCAGAGTCTGCAAGGTAAGGGCAGGGAGGAGTCCTGGGGAGGTGTAAGAGCCCTGTGGATGGGGCACTTGTGGACGTGGGTTAGTGCTGGCCTGGGCACTGCTGGGGGAGCAGTTGGACTCAGTGATCTCAGAGGCATTTCCAACCCAAAGGATTCTGTGATTCCCTGGCTTTGGCTTGGGGGTTGGAAATGAGGCTGGGGCTGCAGGGAGCTCTGCTCTGCTGGCAGAGGGGCTGACAGGGACCCTTTCCTCGCAGGCACACAACGACATGCTGCAGACCTTCGAGGCAAAGCTGACAGCCTTTGGCATCCCCCTGGACAACCTGGGTTTCCAGCCACTGTCCTTTCCCCTCCCGGGGCAGGAACTGGGGAAGGGCCCTGCTGGACTCGTTTCAGTGCCCACCTGATGCTGGCAGCACTGAGGGTCCCACTGGCACACTGGCACTGGGGCTGTGCCCTTTTCCTGCTGCGTGTCTTTAAACAGACCCCAGTAAGCATCTTCAGGAATCTCTCCTGCCGAGGGGGACCACAGCTGGAGGGCTGCAGGCATCCCACCCACCCCACCATGCTGCCCCTGGGGCTAATTCTGTTCCCACAAAAGTGGAAGGTGATGTTTTGAGACAAACGGTGCTGTTTGGAGTTTTTAATGGCCTTGTGGCATCATTCCTGCGTCCCCAGGGGAAGGCTGTGCCCCTCTAGCTGCCCCTGTAGGTTGTGTAGGAGTAGGGGCTGATCAGCAGTGGGACGTGGAGCTTCTGTGCCGGGTCAGTGATGATGAAAACGACCTGAGGGAGGGAGAGTGAGGAGACAGCAGTGGGAATCCCCCTCCCACAGTGAGGCCCAGGGGAGTGCAGCCCCTTGGGCCTGGCCCAGCCCTCAGACATGCTGTGTCACCTGTCCCAGTCTCCCCACTCTCCGTACCTCCACGAAGGGGTAGAAGCTGGTGTGCCCCAGTCCCTGCCAGTACTCAGCTGTCTCAAAGTGCAGCTTGTAGGTGCCAGCCTTGGCCTGTCCCTGTGCCAGGAAGGGCTGGCAGCGCCCATCTGCATCCGTGTGCCTGAAACCAGACCAAGGCAGTCCTGCTGTACCCCAAAACACAGCCCTGCCCCACCCCAGAATCTGCCCTGGCCATACCCCCAAGCACCAGCCCTGCCACCAGCAAACAAACCCCAAGTGAAAGGTGGGCAGCCAGTTGTGCCAGGAGCCTTTGGCCAAGCTGACAGAGCATGGCAGCAATGTCCCTGCCCCACAGGTGCCACCAGCCCTCGTACCTGTGTGCCAGCTCCATCCACTGCAGCCCTGGCTCCTGCAGCTGGGCCAGGCGGATGCCAAGGCCGGCTGCCGGCAGCCCCGTGGCCGTGTTCAGCACATGGGTGGTCAGGGTGCCCTTTCCCACCTCAGACATGCCGTCAGCCTGTGGCAGAGAGGGGAGAGCAGGGCTGGGACCTGTCCTGGCAGCACCATCTGCCTTCTTGTGCTGCAGCCAAGCCCCTGCACTTCACTCTTCCCCGGAGCTGGGATATGGAATCCCACGTCCTTCCCACGCCAGGGTGCTCAGCCCCAGGCACCTTGTGGGTGCCAGTTGGTTCTCACCAGGATGCGGGGCTCTGGGCTCACGGCAGCACCGTGCCCCCTGCTCACCTGCCTGTCCTGGTGGGGCTGAGCACGGCACAGCAGCCAGCCCTGTCCCAGCAGCCC